AACAATGAAAAATAATAGGTATTTCTTTTAGATCAGTCTGAATTAGATAATTCAAATACGTTTGGCATGCATGTACTTTTTATAATGCCCTATTAATTCTTTGTTGCATTTTAAATAAAAACATATTGATTATCTTGAGTTTTTTATGGAGCAAACCCACAGTAGTGGATGCTTATTAGGCTGCTTTTACTTCAGTAAATTTACTAGAGAAAATATTACTTGACCACTTGCTGAAGAATGAGGCAAACTTAATAAATTAAGAACAAAATTTGTTAAGTTGGCGAAAACAGTAGACTTCATGCCTAAAACAGGAGAACAGAGACAAAAACAGTGAATCTACTTTAAAACAGTAGGTCTGGCAACACTGATCGTTCTATCGAATTGTCGTCTGCGGTTGTCGCGTCGCCCATCTCCTTGCTTTCCTTTCTGTTGTCGTCTGTCGTTTGTCGCGTGTTCCGAAATGGTACCTTTAAAGTACTTCACACACACTTCCACTGCTTCAAGTGAAAGTAGACTACTTATTTATAAGCCCTATAATTAATAAAGAAAAAATATAGAAGGGCCGGAAGTGCCAGGTAGGATTCTCAACTACACCGACGCTTCTAAAACAAGGCTAAGGGCGTGGAATATAAGCTTTGTTGGCGGAGCCTGTCGACGATATGTCCACGCTTTAAATCGAACTCATCCGTCGTGGACATGTCGCCGACAGGCTCCACGAACAAAGCTATACTGAAATATACCGAAATGTTTATTTTGATTTATGTTTCGGTTAGTCCTTGGTTCAATGAGTTTACTAATTTAAAAGTTTATTTTCATGAACGCTAATTCAAATTTCCCCATTGAGGGTATAACATTAATTAACTGTTTTTCAAATTGGTATAATATTTTGTACCAGTAAATTCATTAATTAGATAGGTATAGAGCTTTTAGACTCGTTCATGTATGTAGAAAGCAGTTTTAAAGTAGCATCCTTGCCCAGTTTGAATAGTGGTTTGGTTTATTGAGGGGCTATTAATAGATTTATTTTTGCTTTTACCTTATTTGTCGTGTGCATGACTATCATAATGATATAATTGTGCAAATTATCGACGGTGTATTTTCAGAAACTTTTGTAATTGATACTGAAAGGTATTGAAAGACAACCTTTCCAATTTGATACAACTTACAAGTAAACTATTCCACGGTTAATAGTCCCTAGTATATTGACCTTTGGATTTTGTAACTCCTGTACACGACAAACTTCCTGAGCGGCTTCATACGACCCAGTCGGACACATTTTTTCATACACTTCACCCTGGGTGATAGGACATCTTCGCGCTAGCTCTAACGAAGTTGATACATGATATTTCCTCCTTAGAAAATACAGTTTCATCTGATATTTCTTTCTTAGAAGAAAAGGTATCTTCTGATGTGTCTTCTGTGAAAAATGAAATCTCTTCTACAGAAACTAACATTTCTTCTAATATATTTTCTTTAAAAGATGACATTTCTTCCGACGTAGTGGTAGTAATCTCCCAAGATATCGAGGTCCAAGTACTGGTCTGCAGCCATTCCTCTAGTGTCCAGGTTTCAGTAAAACACGTCCCCTTGTTATTTCCATACAAATGGAAATTACAAAAGAGGGTAAAGTTGCAGATACAACCAGGAGGAACTAGGTCTTAAGGAGAGGGCAATGTCGTTGTACTTAACCGCGTCGTGGTGTCTGGCCCGCTTTTAAAAAAATATATCATATGCGAGAAAGTATTCGTTAAAAGGTAATCGAATTGGACGGCATTATATGCCGTTATTTAGACAGATGCACTTAATTGAAAATGAAACTTAAAAAAAAAAATCATTTGAACCATGTTTCATCTAAATAAACTATATTTCTATTGCTATTTCCAAATTTAAAATTTCCTTTAAATAAATTTGACATAATTGCACAATTCAACGCGATTCCATAATGTACATTCGACTATCTATCTTTTTATATCTAAAACCACAAGTTATTAAAATTTGTCGAAGTGATGCTAATGATTTATATTTGAAATCTTCAAAATCTTGTAATTTTGTAAAAAGAGTCTGTAAGTGTGGGACTTGATTTTCTTTATACGTGTTGTAAACAGTTCGTCGAATCACATCTTTAGATGCATCATTTATCCGACGGCTGACGACAGGTTTTTTTTTATTGTGTTCAATGGGCCCGTTCACTTTCATTTTTGAATGTGAATTAATTATATATTTATAAAGATATTAAACTCTTTTGTCTGTTGGTACTTTTCCCGTTAAGATATTTTTGCTAGAAGTAAGGGAATTCCCATAAAATTCTTTCAGTGACTCATTGCGTCAGAAAATCCCTAATTCCGTTCACGTCTCGTATCGGTTATGCTTAAAGACGGCGAGGTTGTCGGAAGTATCCCTAATATAGCATTTCTGCATTTATATATGTAATTTAAATAGTAAAATTCCATTATTTTTCTAAAAATCATGAACTTATATTTTCAGATTTAAAGCTGGGAGCTTATTTTTTACTTTTTAATTAAAACAATTATTATTACTTAGGCTGAAAATTAACCAGACCATAATCAAAAAGTAGAAATTTGATTTGCAATATTTATCTGGTAAACGTGGCAACGTTGCATTTATTTCTAGAAGTGGTAGACAACACTATTTAGAAGTACTTACAACGTTGTCACGTTTAACAGATACATTTTCTCAAATAAAATTTCGATCTGGTAATATTCAGATTGAGTAATACTAATTGTTTTTATTAAACTTTAAAAAAGGTAAGGCTTCCAGCTTTATCTGAAAATATAAACACAAGTTCATGATTTTTATAAAAATAATGGAATTTTACTATTTAAATTACATATATAAATGCAGAAATGCTATATTAGGGATACTTCCGACAACCTCGCCGTCTTTAAGCATAACCGATACAAGACGTGAACGGAATTAGGGATTTTCTGACGCAATGAGTCACTGAAAGAATTTTATGGGAATTCCCTTACTTCTAGCAAAAATATCTTAACGGGAAAAGTACCACCAGATAAAAGAGTTTAATATCTTCATAAATATATAAATAATTCACATTCAAAAATGAAAGTGAACGGGCCCATTACAACGCCGCGTTTAATAACGAAATAAATTGTGGAAAAGGGAATTTTTGTTAACTTACATTTTCTTTTAACTGCATCTGTTTGTAACATATTTGGATTTTCTGATTTAAGACAAGCAAACATATTTGAAGACACAAGTGGATGAAGGGCCTATGTAGCAAAATAATTTTTACGAGATATTTCGTGTTAAAGTTTATTGTTTTGCAGTTATTCCCTAGTACATGGGTCCTTTATCCACTGGCAACTTCTATATTTGATGATATATTGTTACGGAAGACATTTTAAACGAATTTTAGGTACATAAGCCCTTCATTCACAGAAAAACACCATTAAAAAAAATGTTACATATGCCCTTCATCCACTTGTGTCTTCATTTAAAATGACCTGATTTTTGAATTCTCAAGATTATTTCACCTTGATTGTCATTAGTATGAATTGCATTATTAATACGTATTTCATCATTAATTTTTACTGAATTTAATTTTACTTCATCATTATCCTGAATTTCGTTATTTATTGGAATTTCATTATTAACCTGCAATTCATTATCATCTAGAACAGAAGTAAAAGTTGGAAATTGACAGGTTGGCACCGGATCTCACCGAAGTGGACGCGATACATTGGCGTACAAAATTATTTTATAGATTTTAATAACAATTTCGAGTAAATAGTTTAATAAATTATGAATAGCTGTTGAAATTTTGTAAAATTATAATTTGAATATTATAATACATGTTTAATAATTATTTATAATCCATAAATACATGCGATTGTCCGGTTCCGCGGATAACAATTTAAAATTACTTATTCTATGAAACGACACTGGCAGGTAAACATTACTGTGAAATTCTCGGAGCCGCCCGACGTGGTTTGACCTACCAAAAGACTTAACAACTTTTACTTTCTCTATACATTTACCCCCAAAGGTCTCCAGAAAGACATTACGTTCAACATAAATCAAAATTTAACAGAAACACCGAAAAATAAAAACAAGTTTAACAAACGCTTTGAGAAGAAACTGCAAAAAAATTTCTGACCTTGCACGCTACTGAACAAAGAGCAACTGAAGGGCAGCCAGGCCAGTGTTACCAGATGAACATTTTCTGAAACAGTAGATGGGTGGGAAAAAACAGTACATCTAAGGTGAACAGTAGATTTTAATACAGGGGGCAATAATTATAATTTGCAGTACAATAAATAAAAAAATTATATAAGAAACGAAAAATAAACATTTTTGGCTTTTATACTCAAATTAGAAATTAAACAAAGAATAAAATAAATAAAATTTGTAAAACTTAATGTCAGGAGGAAAAAAATTAAATGAAAAATAATAGGTACCAATTTTTTTCAGATCAGTTTGAATCAGATAATTCAAAAATGTTGTATTTTTCATGCATATTTTTATTATGATTGCCCTATTAATTATTTTTTTGTTGCATTTTAAATCAAAACATGATGAATCTATGGAAGTTAAATATTTTTTTGTGTGGCGCAAACCTACAATACTGGTCTTTTCAACTTATTACGCTGTAATAAAATTAAAAATTTTAAACAGCCATATTTCTTGTCAAAAATAATAACCCTCTGCAAGTTTGGCAAAAATTATATATACTATTACTTAATGATAGGCCGGTTTTTGTTGTGAATTAAATAATTATTAAAATTAGCTGTCAAGTATCATACTTGGTACTTCACAAACTGAAATGGTGTATGACAAGATATGATAAAAAGATTTGATTAAAAATTAACGTGATATGGGACTTATTTATGACAAATCTACAATCTGAGATATTCATGGTGGTCTCTTTTTGAAAAAATCAACTTATATAGGTACTATTTTTGATAATTACCTCTTTTTACAAAATTTTTTCAAATAAATTTACCAGTAATTTTTTATTTCAGATGTGAAAAAAAGTACTTCACACGACGCAGCCTCTTACACACAGCATGGCATAAATAGAATGCTCCTAGTTATATCATCTGTCTTCATTATTTTAAATTTTCCAAGGTAGGTAATATAAAAATTGATTATGTTCTACTTACCTATTGTCTCCTGATATTTCTGAATAACAAGTATAACAATATAACTGTATCCGTACCTGAAATTAAAACTCGTAATTAGAAATATGCATAATTCCCTTACAAAGTGAGCGCACGAGGTTCGTCTCACCCATTTAGCTTTTGAACTGTTGTGTCATGAACATAATTACGCGCACATTGTTCGATAATAATGTTAAAGACCATTTTGAGATATTTCGTTTTAAGTTACTACCTTCATTGAGAATCAGTAAAAGTTTTAAGTTCCTCATTGTAACGAGCCATCGAGAATTGGATTAGTGAAATTTAAATTGGTACTTTAGTCAGTTCTACTGAAACAGATTGACATTTATAACTTGACATTTTCTTAATAAACAAAGTTTATTACATCGAAATGATACCGCAACAAAAAAAGAAACAAATAATTCATTTAATATCGAAATCATAGTCAAAAATTTTTTTTGCTTGTCTTTCTCAGTAATTACTATATGAAGTGTCGTATTAAGGTAGTTCACTCGTAAAACGGCGTTTCTTAAGAATTCAATAAAATTGAAATATGAGGTTAATGAAAGTGTCTTTTATGTACTTAAAAAAACTAAAAATTTTTGACCGTCTGTAAAACGAGATATTAACAATCAAAATGTGCATAATTAATACTCTTGAAGCCCTGTCATGTACACAATCATTGCATTTATTTCAAGATATCTCGAAAACGGTTCTTACCATATTTTTTAAAAACTAATGTAATGTAAATCAAGAAGTTATAAAATTTTCTAAAAAAACGCTGATTTTTTTTTACCGGTCCCTTTTCTCCGAATCACGTACAAAATTTGTGATGTGATTTCCGCGTTTATATTTGTCTGAGGAGCGAACATGCGTTTTATGAATGAATCAGTATTTACGTCTACTACGCTTGCTTCAGGCTGATGTCACACTTCAAAATTAATTGCGTACTTTTCTTAAAGACACTACAAAACTATAAAAAGCTACCATTTCGCAAGCCGAGACCGAGACCGACTTCAAAACACGAGGGAGACCAAAAACGATCTCTTCACGTCTGAACACATGAAATTATATGAAATATTTCGGTAGAAGACATCAGATTGTATGGCAATATTTGCCGCCTCACTGGTGTCTCCGACTTCTGTCGTTTATCGCGCGTTCCGAAATCGAAATGGTACCACAGTTGCACGAGAAAAGTAAACTACGCCGAAGATGAAGTGGGACAGCCAAAATTTTGCCTAATTTTGACTAGCGGTAACTTCGACATGTCTTTGTCGATATTGGATTTTAAACCAGAGGTGCAAAGCGCCAACCTTGCTGTTTGCGCCAGTGGCATTCAATTTCCCTTCCTGTTGTACAGTGTGAATGTAAGGCAGCGAAAAATGTCCCTCTATTGGCAAAGAATTTGGAAAATGTTGGGGGCCAAATAAAGTTGTTTCTGATGTCGAGTGGATCAGTAGGTCGACACCTCGGGATATCTTTGCCATTTTTTTAAACTTTGCGTTGGTCAACATCAGCGGTGTGCAAAATGAAATTAAAATCCCGAAAACTTGATTTTATTTGAAATTTTTAACACTTTTGCTGAAACATTTAACAGCAGTTGTGATCGGATTCTCTTGGCAATCCAAACTCTGTTTATGATTGCAGTCCGTTCTATTGCTCGATCCTGATGAGGATTAGTTCTTTTTTGAGATCCTCCCCCGTATCAGTAAGCGCAGTACCATAATTGTTACCTTCTCTCTGCAACGCTCTTACAACGGATGATTCCTTGACATTAAGGAACTCAGAAATCTCTCTTATTGTGTGATTTAACTGCCGCAATTTTAAAATATTCATCAAATCATATGTCTATTTTGTAAATCCAGTTCAGTATCATTATTGTTTTCATTTAGATTAATAATCAGCAACGGTTTAACAGTTATATGTTTATCTAAATTTTTCCAGTTCGCAGTAGGTATATTATTATTGTCCGATTTAAAGTTTGCACTATTTGGCACTAGAGATATTACATTTTGTTTAAGTATGATAATCGAATTTAATTACGGGTTTTGAGCTTACATTAAATTGTAATTAGATGAAACAAAATGGATTCTATGTATTTTGAGGTGATCTTTTCGAAAAAAGGCAAAACAAAATATAGCAGTTTTTCGAAAGTGCCGAAATTTTGGATTTTGTCAATTTTTCAATTTTGCGCAGGCGCATGTCGGAAATAAATCAATATTTTTAAAACGCAGTTTACGACGGTTGAAAGCTTAGGAAAAATGCTAATTTTTATGTCTCTTGACAAATTTTGATCCGATGCACCGTTCTCGCGGTATGGACGATTGAAATTTGTTTAGTATTTTGAGGCGACGAAGGTCGAAAAATTGAATTTGTTAAATGTTCAAACACTAAATTCTTTATAACATTGGTAAAAATTAAGATATTTAAAAAAACAAAAATGCGTTTTGAACTTAAGGGATGTGACTAGTGATTCCCAGAAGGGGGCAAGAGAAATCCCAAAATTGGGCATATGGCGGAAGGGCAAAATGCACCGCGGTCCTAATTTCATTGTTTGCCTATAACGGCCAAACTATTTGAATTTTTTAATGCCACTTACAAAGCTTACTCTTAAATGTGAAATCTTATGTGTGTGTGAACTTCACCGACATCGTCGGACCATAATTGGCTAAGATATCAAACAGTTAAATAATTAAAAAAAAAAAAAAAAATAATTTTTTTTCGAAAGTTTGAAGTGGCACAAAAATGCCAAAAATGCACAAAATGGCTCAAAACTTTTTTTTTGAGTACTCTATTGTGTCTAGAATACGATTACATTACGGAAAATTCTGCAAATATATTTTATTTATTTTTTTGACCACTGTTTATTGAGTGACGACCAAAAAACACGGTTTTTGAGAGAAGTTGCCTAAAATTGACAATTTTTAGTTTTTTTGTCTGAAAATTAAACAAACCCAAATTTCATGTCTTTTAAATGTGTATACAAAGTTTAAAGTGTGTATGTTTCTTCTAAGTTGTAGAATTCTCCCGACAAAAGTCCTATTACACGCGCTCCGCGGATCCAAAACTCGTGTATACACTACATTACTGTAATTTGATTTTTTTGCGATTTTCAGTTTTAAATTTCTTGCATATCTAAATTTATTAGGCTTAAAATTTATTCAATTGTATTTTACTGACTTGTTATAAGACGTTTCTTGAGTTTTGTGCAAAATATAGAATTACCAGATATTAGCGAACAAAAAGCAAGCTTATCACCAAGTTGGAACTTACACTCAGGCTTAGGATTAATTTCCTAAAATTTTTAAAGTATACCTTTTTGTGTATTTTTTTGTGCTCTTTTCGATGGCGAAGTTAGTTTTTTCAAATATATTTATTTTGTTAGATGTTTTCGGAAAACCCGGAAAAAATCACATGGGGAAAAAAATTAAAAAAAAAACTACGCCTCTGGTTTCCTGTGAATTCCCGAAAAATTATGTCAGATTTCGCCGCGGGACTTATTTTATTTGAGAGCCAACAAAAAAATACGCAGCTTCTCTCATGGGCACATATGTCTAACATTTATAATTTTGCCACAAATTCATCGTAAATTTCATGTCCATGGTTCTGATCAAAAAAACGAAAAAACGACTTTTTGGTAAAAGCACTTCTGGCGAGATATTCGCCATTAAAACTACCTGTGCAATGAATTTCCGAACTATTTTTGCCTCCTCTTTCGAATGGTGCATTTATTTTCACTATCGGAATGATACTTTCCCAGATAATTAGCATTTTTACAATGGAAAATTCCGGAAAACCCGGTTTTTCCTAATTTAAAAAAAATTGAAAAACTGCTACATCTTTTTTTTCTTTTTTTCGGAAAGATCACATTAAAATACACAAGGTCCTTTTTGTTTCATCCAATTACAAATTAATGTAAGCTCGAAGGGGCTTTTTTTCGTTATTTAATTGGACTATGACTGAATCCGGTTTTTTATAAGTTTTTCGAACAAACTAGGGAAATTGCATTGGTATCTATTTGCTAAAGCATAGAAAGTAATTATAAAAGTTCTTTCTAGAAGTTTCGAAGTAGAAATATTTTATTAAAACTGAAGTGTAATTAAGGTATTCATATTACCAAAAGAAAATTAGTTTCTATTCTGATCGAAGAAGTAGGTGAGAAACAATTATTAAAATTTCTCATTAATAACGCCACAAATATTTGTGATTCTCAAGAAAATTACGATAAAATTAAAGTCTACTCTATCCTCAATTATACCTTAATAGACTTATTTAATAACATATTTCCAGTTTATTTCATTGATTCGAAGGTAAACGAATATCTTTATTTATGTAAAATCTAAAAATTCATCAAAAAAACAAGCACGGCTGATTTTAGGTACATAATGTGGTGTAAATTATCCCAAAAGGGTTTTAATAGAATACGAGACGACAGTCAAAATCTTACTATAGCTCACAGCTTGACATTTTTAAATCGTTAATATAATACACTTACCTATACACCTACACCAATCATATCAGACAAGGGTTAAAGCAAACAAGCGTTTATGTGGATGTGGAACTCAACATAACAAATGTGTATTTAAAATAAACACTTTCTAGTTGCTGGCATAACTGTCAATAAGTTTGATGTTATTATAACAAAAGTAATGTAATAAATAGGCTCCTTTTTGTTTGTTTACGAAGAATCCCTGTTTCCTTATGGAAAATAGGTTTCGGTCAATTCATCTGATTTTTATATACAGATTGACAACCAGCTTAAATTAGAGGTCCCTAAACTTGCCATGTTTTTAAGTTTTGGTAATATTGCACTTTTGCAAATTCATCAACTTTAAACTCATTGCTAACTGTAGTAAGGTGTAGAAGACAAAAAAAAAACAATAAAAAAGACATTAATTTTATACAATTATTAATTAAAACAAACCAAAATAAAAATAAGTATTACTTAAAATTAATAAGTAAAAATAA